CAGGCAATCTTCAAAGTCAAAGCTCTCGTCAAAGACACTCATGGGGACAGAGGAAAGTGGCCGGAGGGGGAGGATGAGGGGGAGGGTAAAATGTATACATTGCAATTCCTTAAATAAGCGCCCATGCTCCAATAGGTACCCTTCACCAAATAGGCGCTAACCCCTGGCCCTAAGGCCATACCTTCAAACAAGTACCCCCTCCTCCCTCACTTTCTAGTTGTAGGGATACAAGAGAAACCTGTTCCTAATGCTACTTTATTTTAGAAATAAGTACAGGTAAATAATTTCTTGATAAGCGCCCTCCTCGATTTAGTGCCATCCCTCGAATACGCGCCCCTTCTTTCGGCCGAAATTTTAAATTAGCGCTTGAGCGCTATTCGTGGAAATAAAGTATGTCCTTTTTACATTTATTACGCCCCGTGTATGTCCTCAGCTGACGTGGGAACATGTAATGTTGTGACCAAAAACTCCAGTTTTCTTTAGCGGATTCTTTGCAGTCAATTGAGTTATTTCCCATCTGAATCCGGGTGTATTCAAGCTTAACGGGTTGCCAATTGACATGATAACACTCTACTAATGTTCTAAGTCCGGCTCGTATAATATGAAATCACTGTAAATAGTTAACTTCCTCCTTCCACCTCCTTTGTCCTCATGATTGTCTTTGTGGAGAGGCTTGCCTCGAAAAAGTTTAATTATTGAGTTAAAAAAGGTTAAAAACCGAAAAACTTGAAAAAATAATATAAAATAAAAATTAAAAGCGAGAGAATAATGATAACAATAATGATAACATGAACACACTTTCTTTTAATAGTAATGATAATTCTAAATTAATATAATAATGACAATAATTATGACAATGATTATGAAAAAAATAATGAAACGTAGAATGATAGTGCATTCTAAGGGCTACGAGGCTGATGTGACTTTGGCGCAACTGTTTTCCATGAAAACGAGCCAGTGTAGAAGGTCATGTAAGGGATTTTGCAAGACGTAATATTATATCTTGAAATAGAATACGGCTTAATATTTTGGATTTTTGGGTAACCAAAGGATTGTCGTATCACGAAAACTGCGGAAGTCTAGCCTTTATTCGCGAGCAGTATCTAAGTATATTCTACCGTGATATCTTCTCCTTGGTATCTTCAATTTTTGTCAAGCGCTATCGTTTCTTGGTCACCAATCATTATTATAAGGAAATCAAGTGAGACTTCCGGGGTATGGGAGTTTTTGTATCTAAAAAAAAGCGAACAATACAGTAAGAGCAACGATGGCCTCGAACTACGAAATTTCAGCGGCTACTGGCTACAACACGTCTGCGGCTATAAACAACACCGCCGCCTCTGCTGCGCTGGTTATTGGTGAATTTTGGCAGGAAAACTGTCTTACTCTTTTAGACAGAACTAAATTTATTTTCAACAAAGAGTTATTAAGCGACGTAAAATTTGTTGTTCCAGCGGCGTCATCTAACGTGAGGCGAATGATCCCAGCTCACAAGCTTATTCTTGCAATCAGCAGTCCTGTGTTTTATGCCATGTTCTATGGCCCAATGGCGGAGACCAGAAGCTCTTTTGAATTTCCTGATTATGAGTACGAAAGTTTGTTGGAGTTCTTTCGTTTCTTATACCACGACGAAGTCAATTTGAGCGAAAGTAATGTACTGCAAGTGTTGCACCTGGCAAAGCAATACATGGTGCCTTCACTCGTGAATAAATGCACTAAGTATTTGCGAGACATTGTAGATATATCAAATGTGTTTGTGGTTCTAATTCCCGCTCAGACATATGAAGAGAAAGATTTGGAAGATAAGTGCTGGAAAGTGATTGAGATGCAGGCAGATCAGGCTGTGACGTCAAAGGAATTTTTTACGGTTGAACGGTCTGTTGTTGAGTCTGTTGTGAAGAGAGAGACGTTGAATATAAAGGAAGTGGATCTCTTTAAGGCAGTTAATCAGTGGGCAACAAGAAAAATTGAAACGGAAGAGAAAACTCCTGATGGCGCCTTGAAAAGACAAGTTCTCGGAGAAGAAATAGTAAAAGCGATAAGGTTTGCCTTAATGTCCCAGAGGGAGTTTGCCTCTGCTGTTCTAGATTCGGGCATTCTTACAGATAAGGAGCGTGAAAGCATGATGAAATACTACAGCAACGTTTCTACAGTCCCCCTCCCGTTCTTGGAAGTTAAAAGACAGCAAATTAACTTTCCTCGGTGTCATAGATTTTTAGAGTTCCGTTCGCCATGCAGTGGCTCTCATGGTGACTGGAGGTACGACGGTCATGTGACTGACAAGCTAAGGTTCTCAGTCAGTAAACAAATCAGGCTTCGTGGAGTTCGGCATTTTGGCTCTAAAGGAAATGAGTATACAATTTCCTTGCAAGTGGACGAAATCCAATACTTCCCGACAATGTGTCTGGTGCAAGAGTCTGGAAACTACGCTTCCTCTGAGATGAATCAGACTAGCAAATATGCTGGCTTTGATGTATTGTTTGTCAGTCCAGTTGTTCTAAAAGCAGATCGTGAATATGAAATAAGATCTGTTATCAAAGGCCCTTCGTCTTGGTACGGAGAGCGAGGCCAAAGCTCTACTGAGTACCAAGGAGTAGTTTTCACTTTCAAGCATCCTTTGGAAAGCAACAGCCGAACCAAGGCAAGTCGCGGCCAGTTTCCATCCTTCATTTTCACATGAATTGTATAGGTTGGTCCAGTTGCACTCAGCTGAGACAGGGAAGTCACTTAACAGTTTCAGGAGCCCATGTTTGAAATGTTGTGTAATGTATACAGAAAAAGAATTTATATATATATACTATAATCTTTAATGAGGATGCTAACGTCACAAAAATGGTTTACAGGAAGGTCCTCTTAAGTTAAAAACTAATGCAAAGATAAATTACAAATAGCAACAAGGTGGTTAGAGTACCGCATTTAACAAAGAGCCTCGTGTCCCTCATCATAGTTGGTAGTCCCCTCTACCAACTATGCCCTCATTCACAATCATCACTGCTTTATAATTGGAATAAAGCGAAGTAGTTAGTTTGAGCTGAGCTTCGGACAATTTTCAACTGTGTTTCGAAATCAATCCGTGACTGCTTTGTTTTTACTTAACTTGCTCGGGGAATGGTTCAGAAAATTCATGCCATTCTCTCATCCAATCAGATGCAAAACTGAAATCAGTCGCCACTGGGTCGCGCGCGGTTTTCCGCGCTTCAAGCAGTTTCCATATTTTAGTTTGAGTCCTCATTGCTAATGATAATGTAAACCTTTGTTCTGATTGGTCGACGGGATTACTTTGGTTTTCGTTGTTCGACACTCAATTAGTAATACTGTACTTTCCGGCCGTTTACCCGCGGGTAATCTGTTGATTTTGCCTTTAACACGCGCCACTGCGGGTAATGGGTAGGTGTGGGTTATGTAACAATTTTGAAATCTACTAGCCGTTGAATTGAAAAAAGTTCTCACCTCCCTGCATTTCCACTTCTCAAATGAATATTATTGTATTAAGACTGCCACAAAGTGACACGAAAACATGCCGACTCGAGTTAATTCCCGCATAATTAGTTGCGCGACGAACAAATTTTTATTGACACGTGTGTAAACAAAACCTTGATTGTGACAAAAATAGTCCACGGATATCCGGCGCATCAGTAACAAAATAATTTCCAGTTAACACGCGCTTGAGCTGAAGAGAATTTTCCCGTTTTAAGGGACTGGGACTTGTTAAGAGAATTTTCCCGTTTTAAGGGACTGGGACTTGTTAAGAGAATTTTCCCGTTTTAAGGGACTGGGACTTGTTAGGCCCAGGAGAACCGGAGATATCGATTTTTTTTTTGAGAAATCAACAAATAAACATGGCGCTGAACGATCGCTCGCACAAAATGTGGCCACGAATTCGCATTCTGTCAAGCATGAAACGTTGTGAAATCTAGAGCCTTTTTGTACAAATTTCCTTTGCTTTTAAGGTGCGGGTTATCCACTAGTGCGGGTAATCTGTTGAATTTTTTTTTTTTTGGCAGTATGCAATAAGTGGGGCATGGTTGCCAATATTGCCCGAGCCAGAGGCTCATGTATGAAACGCAAGACAACAATCCACCCATCCCACCCCAGGGGAGGACATTCATCACACAGTAATCTCGGGAAATTAACGTCTCCTACCCCTAACCCTGCAGGAGACGGGACCTCTATTTATTCGTCCCTATCCGAGAAGACTAGAATATCTAAACCATCTCTTGATGTTATAGAAAGGCAGCATATTCTTCTCAATTATTTTAAGATCTTGAGTGTCGGTCCGGCGGGGCTAGAACCCTCGCACAACAGTCCAGCGCTCTATCCATTGAGCTAACCAGGAGGCGGTAGTTCAAAACAGCTCTGCTCTATAAAAGTAACTAGCTGTTTGTTTCCGAAATTTGTATTAGATTCTGTGCACTGAACAGAGAAGGATCAATGAGTTAACTAAGGATTGAAGTGTTATAAAGAAGAACTCTGTATTTTTCAAAGCCTAGCACGAAGGCTGATCTTAATTAAAGATGATAATTGCCAAGAGCAAAATAGAAAAAATCAGTCAATTATCTCATTCAAGCTTTAATGCGAGCAGATTTTAAAAGTTTGGTAATAAGTGAATCTAGGCACGTACCTACAGCTAAAATCGTCGTATGGCGTTTTTTCGGAGCATTCCAGGTTTTGGTTTCTAGAACATTTTCTGACGTAATAAACATGTTCTGTAAAATTTCTTTTGAAATACTGTGCGGCGTTTGGCATTGAGGAGTCTCTGATCTTACTGTGAAACTGCCAGTCTATCTCATTTCAGGAAATGAGGAATAATTGATAGCATTTCGACTGAGCGTCATAAAACACACACCAAAATCGTTTCTGCACAAATCCTTCCTGCGAAGATAACTCTCATCTTCGCAAACCCATCTAATCACCTAATCAACGACTCTGAGATTAACTGATAAGTGTTTTAGTATATACCACACAGATACCGAAAAAGTATACTAAAAAATGGTGGGAAATTGCTATTCACTTCCGAACTAGCCATCAGTGCGCGCGAAAAGCACTTTTTACTCGTGTGGTATATATTTACTATAAATGTTTCCAATGAAGTGACTCTGCCTTGTTCAAATTAGATTTATTTTTCGATTATGTTAAGAAAAACGCGTGAAATCCGTGCGAAAAAAAAAAAAAACTTCAACATTAAAAAAATCACTGGATCTGATAGGAAAAAGAATATTATGTTTCCGTTATAAGGAAGAGGAAAAGCTCTCAGGTGAGTCTTAGACAGTTCCTGTCTCCTTCTCCATCTTTCTGATGCGTTTTAGACGGAATGGTAAGACAAAAATTCGTACACGTTGCGGACCTATGGTTGGATTTACGGACACCATTGAAATACCTGTTTGAATCCATTTGAAATTCGAGTAGTCGATGAGATTGTCTCGTAAATGAACAAGAAGCAGGGGCAAAAAGTGGGATACAACTTTCTCTTTTTCACCCAAATCTACTGCTTCCTTTTCCGCCCTCTGAAAATCGAGCCTGCGGCAATTAAATGTGCGGTATGCCATAAAACGCATGCTCAGATTGGTCTTTCAAGTTTATTCTTGCAGAAAATCGCTGGAAGATATGTGTTTTAAACTATAACATTTTGTAGTTCTTTTATTTCTTCTTTTATTTTAATCTCATTGTGATTTGATTTCTTTTCGTAATGCGCGGGGCTATCGTAACAAGTGTTTTTCTCGTCATAAATTGCTTCAATGCGGTCCTAAGCGGCGAACTCGTCACCGATCGACCGTCGAAAGACGTCCTCAAATTATCGATGTCGAGGAAATCTCTCAACCAACAGCGACGTTTTCGCCGACACACGAAACGCGCAGAAGATGGTTCAGGAGAGAAATGTCGAAATCCCGCTATGGATGAAGGTAGTGGAATTGAGAATAATCCAGTAAGTGTAGTGCATTTTGATTTTTATCTTTTGTTTACAAATATTCATATTTCCGCATTTTGTAAGAAGGATAATCGCAATTTATCGGAACCTTTTCTTCTTTTTTTTTTTCTCTTGTAGTGGAAGTTTGAAAACGAAACAAAGATGAGTATCTCCATTAGCTGGATCGGTAGAAAAGAGACCGGAGAAGCTGCGGTGAGCAGAAATTTTATGATCGTCCCTTTTAATTTTTTTGGTTTACATAAGAAAAGCGTTCGGTTTACCTAGTGCAGATCACATGATCGGTGACGTATAGACAGAAATATATGCTATCAGTGTGTGGAAACTTTTATTTAACCAACCTCTGCCCGATTTTTGTGGCTTTTACAAGTGTTTTTGTTTTTGAATTTTAAGAGGCTTCTATTCCCTGCAGTTAGTGTTGATCATTAATTACAAAATTTCGGCTATTTAATTATGAAGGTTTTAATTACCATGGTATCGAAAAATTCCTCTAAGAATTCTTCTTTGTATAGAGAAATTTGTTCCTGAGGTTTTGGCTTGGAGTTGATTTTTTGTTGTTTTGTTAAAAAGGCGACATGTGCGGGGAAGTATTTGAATTAATTTCCTGAAAATTGTTTATTCAATGGTACTATTAAATATCAAATGATTTTTAAGTCTTGAGGATGCAAATTGAAACTTTGTGGCTGACTGCATTGATTAAAAGCAGCTGTTTACTTTCTGTTTTAATGTCGTTAACAGACTGAAGGGGAGAATTAAGTATGTTTGGGGACCCTAACCAAAGATGATTAAAAGATAGAATGAGATGAGATAATTTATGTCCTGTAATAATATACATGAACAAATTCTGTGCTTCTGCTTGGCTGAAAATGAGTGCATTTTTCATGTAAGATGAGAGCAAAGTTACAACACAAGCGGAATGGAGGCTTTACTCATTTTACTCTAAAACTAGTAAAATTGGAATCAATCTGAATGTGAACTTTTAAGTATTTAAAATAATTTAAATGCTTCATGGTAATTGTTATTTCAATTCAAAAGTTGTTGTTAAGTTCAAAAAACAACAACAACAACAACAATAAACAGCTTGTTGTTGCATGATGCTGCCCAAGGGCTTAAAGAGATCTATGAAACTTTGAGAAAGTTATCTGAAACAACACTTTAAGTTATTTAAAAGTTTATGTTGTTAGGAAAATGCTTTATAAGAGAGAAAATTGTATTTTACATAAACTTGTTTCTGTCTTTCTTTCAGACGATGCTCTTGTTGGCGACAACTGAGCTGATGTTTTTCTTTAGCAAACCTTCAGACCTTTACAAAAGGTAAAAAAAAAAATTGGATATTGTTATTATTGATCATAATTACAGTATGTATCCAGATGTCATAGGTCAAAGTAATCATAAACTACCTGGTTGGTCGGTCTGTTTGTTTTTATATAAGTATGTATTTCTGGTTGAGATATGTTATAGTTGGTAGTTTTGAAATGACATTTCTGGCACATTTTGCTTTTTTGATTTAGATTAGTAGAATAGTTTGTTTCCCTTTTTTAATTTTATTTGCAATACACTTAATAAATTACTTATTATATAATACGATATTGACATTACTTACAAGCTACAGCTATGTATAATGCAGTATAAAAAGTTCCCTTAATACTATACAGCTACTAACAATAATGCTGACATCACAAGTACAAAACTTATTACATAACAATTGCATATTTTACAATTACAGTTTCATTGCACAGAGATATAAATTGATGTAAGGACAGGAAACTTTGCCAGCCTACTTTTTCTGATTCTCCGTAGTGGAGTCATGAAAATCAAAATGACTCAACGAATCCCTTCAGGAGGCAGCCTAGTTCCAGGAAGAACTATCTGAAGCTCTCCTCTGATTATATCCATTTTTCAGTCAATCTTTTAGATAGTACAGAACTGGCTCTCCTTCATTCACAATAATTGATGTACTAATGTTTTAGACCTTCAAAGACCAGTTTGGATCTGCAGCTCTTTTCTGTACACCTTCCAGCTCAGTAGCTGCACACAAACACCTCACAATCTTTTAGAAGTGAAACCTCTTCTCTTTCGAGCCAACAGGTCCAGAATACAATGTAAGTGGTTGAACTCTTTGTGACTCTTGAGAGTCACCTGGACATTCAAAGCTGAGACAAGCTCTGGAAGTCTTTTAACCCACTCAGTAGTTCTCTTTCCAGATGTGAAGTTCATCTTCTGACTTTATTGAAAACTGAAGAGATGTTCACCCAAAGTTTGATTGAATAGCTCAATGATTCCTTGATCTCTGTGAACGTTTACATTCCCTCTTCTTATCCTCATATCATGCTTCTCCATTTCTCTTGTGCCATCACCCATGAATTTACGCCCAGTATCAACCTGAAGAACTTTTGGCCGTCTCAGTGATCCTCCCTTATAAATTTTTCACTGAAAAGCCTCTGAGAGACTACAGAAGAATCCTTTGAGGTTAGTTGTGTGAATCTGTGCACGACACTGACAACTGTCAATTTTGTAGATCTCCTTTCCTCTCAGAAGTCTGTCATGAAGAAGGAAAAGAAGATAAGCTTGGTGAATTGCATGTGGAAATTCAACATCAAGAGTTGGTCTTTTCAATGGGAGCCAGCTCTTAACCATCTGAAAGATGACCAAAGAGTGGATTCTGCAGAGAAGAGCGTTAGATAGTTCCTCCTCAACCTGAGCCAGCTCCTGAAGGAATTTGTTTGGTCATTTTGATTTTCATGACTCAACTTTTGAGAATCCATTTTTATGCTTTAAAGCAGGCGTGTAAATCTGCTAGATAGTTTGTTTCATCAGCCAAAGTTCTGCAACATTTTCAGGAACTTTAGCCTCTTGCTCTAATTTCTTCATTGCAAGCAATCCTTTCCAATAGTCTTTCAAGGGATAATAAACTCTTGGAAGCTTTCTTTCCATTTTGAAATAGTTCACAAGAAAAGACTAACAGCCAATCCGAAAGCCAGGGCTCCAGCTCCAATGTAGTTCATTTTAGCTTATTTTTGTTGAATTCTCAGCTTATAGAAGTCTGGAAACTTGCTTAATCCCCAAATGCAGTTCATCTTGATGCACTTTATTGAAAAGTTTGAAAGCATAGTCATTAGCAGTTAAACTTTGTTTTGCCTGCTCTTGTTGTAACCAAATCAAGTCATCAGACTGCTAACTTTTTTAATAGTTTAGCAAAATTTTAGTATCTTCAAGATAATTATTGTTTTGTTCCAAGAGAAGCTGCAACAAAGAGATAAAATTAACAGACATCCTTTAAATCCTTCTCCTGATTTTCTTGAATAGAGTTCTGTTCTTTTCAGTGGGAGCCAGCTCTTAACCATCTGAAAGATGACCAAAAAGTGGATTCTTCAGAAAAGAACATTAGATAGTTCCTCCTAAACCTGAGCCGGCTCCTGAAGGAATTTGTTCCGTCATTTTGATTTTCGTGACTCAACTTCTGAGAATCCAAAAAATCAAAATGAGAAAGTGTCCTAGAAATCTAAATAAAAAAAGCAAAATGACAAAATGTGCTAGAAATGTAATTTTAAAACCACTTAGCAGAGCGTTAGAGTTCATGTGCATGAGTATCAAATTGAATATGTTTTGGGACCCACTCTGAGTCATTTTTGTCCAGGTTTGTGTTTCATGTATCACATGTCAAGCAAAGTAAAGGTTTCTGCTGGTAAACTAAAAATTTTTAGCTATGATTTTGTTTAAAAGAAGCCCACAAACATTGCAGAGTTTGATAACAACTTGTAAATAGATCAAATTCATGAATTGTCTTTGACATTAGGCAAATGCTCTACTGTCATAAGTGTACTATTTTTATAGCTAAAAAGTAATTATAACATAACCAAAATAAAGCGCGCTCTCTGATTGGTCAATTTAGCGTCCCCCATTTGCCCATGGGTGTACGCTGCTGACATGAGCAAATGCAAAGTCTTTTTTCCGCGCGCGCTTGTTTTTTCTGGTCATGTAAGATTTGTTAAATAAAAGGGAACTCTTTAGCTACAATGTATCAWWGTWACTTTATAAACAAATGGTAAACACCACAGCGTACACTATTCAGTTATGGATGCACTTGGGAGGTTTGCTAAGCACTCAAAAAGCTAGAGTCACTCTCGGCTATCGCCTCGAGCAACTCTTACGCTTCTTTTGTGCTTAGCAACCTGCCGTGTGCATCCATAACTCAATAGTGTACGCTGTGTGTTTACCATTTGTTAAATGCCATTATGCATCCGGTACTTAAATTTCTGAAAGGAACAAAGGAAAGATGATAAGATTAACTACAGTCTTTTAATTAATTTCTTGTTTTTCTCATTTCAGTGAGGACTTTGGGAAAACTTTCAAACATGTGAATGCTGAAGTTTTCAATACCCACATTAGAAAGGACAGTGGGATCTTGAAAAGCCCAGTTAATCCCAATAAGGTTTGCAACTCTCCCTTCTGTTATGTATAAGGCTGTGTTCACAGTTGGTGCTTAAGCATGGTGCCCAAGTTGTGATTCTTGATGGGCCCTAATGTGAACACACTTCTATTTCAAGTACCCACACCAGAATTCAGGCACTGTGCCTGTAGACCTTGTACTCCGGCACTGAACTGGACACTGATATATCAGGTACCCAGGTTTCCACACACAGTGGCCTGTCAGCAGCCTGTTGGTTAGCTGTCGGTAGCCTGTTCGTAATCTCTCAGTAATCTGTTGGCCGACAGTTGACCGACAGTCGGCCGACAGGTTTTTTGGGGAGCTTTTCTTCACAATCACCCCATTTTGTGCCAGTGCCCTGGCACTCATGCTCGGGCACCAAGTGTGAAGGCAGCCTAACATATACATTTCCTTATTAATCAACCAAGTTGAGAGAGCTTTGTGTTTTATCAAGAAACCTCTTCATCTGACCAGTTTGTCTCTTTTGCTATCTAACATATTGATCTTGCCAGAAAAAGCTAAACATTAATCAGTTCTGGGACCTAAAGGGGGTTTGATTTCTCATGGGGATTGAAAGTTATTCTTTGTTCCTCATCCTTGACGAGACAAAAAAACATCTTCCTTTACTAAGCTATAATCATGTCATTAGCACTGTTACCTCTGTGTCAGTATGTATGGTAACAGGGACTTAAACCCTAGTTTGTCTCCAATGATTTGCTTAAGTTACAAGAATTAGTTACAAGAATTTGTTGTTAGATCAAGGTAACAATTTTCACTTGTGAATTATGAGTATTCTCATTACCTGTTTGTTGAGTAGTGTTGTAACGACCCTAAACTTTAACGACCAAAATTCGTCTTTATTGGTTTTCTATCTGCTCATCGGACCTCATTACTCGAATGAATATGCCTCCCCAAACATAACAAAAAAAAAAAAAACGGAACATTCTTGAGCGACTGAGGTCATGTGATGATGTCATGTGACAAAAAGGGCAGGAAAACACAAAAACAGGGAACCCTGCAACAAGTGTATGGTATTTTCATTTGTGAATTATGAGTATTCTCAAGAGGAGAAGTTCCATGTTTTTTTTTTAAAAATCACTTCTGGCAGTCAAAGGGTAAACGTACCATTTACCATCATGTTGCATAAGTTGTCATCATCTTAAAACTACTCACTAATGTTTTGATTCTGTTTGTTTTACTCTTAGGTTATTCTAGTTTCCCACAGCATTCCTTTTTTCCCAACTCAATCTGGCCTGGTAATCACCAAAAATGGAGGGAACAGTTGGGAGCAGGTGAAATGTCCATTTCAGATCAGTGGACCACTTCTGTTTCATCCAAGGCAGGAAGATTGGATCTTGGCAAAAGCTGTTGTTAATGGGATGGTGAGAAGGATTGATTGGCAGATAATCCATAGATGAGTTAGCGATAGACTACATGGAAGTTTAGACTTCTTGGAAACTTACCATAATTGTAATTAACAGATTACATGGGATTGAGTGAATAATTATTGATTCACTTGGTTGACTAACTGATTGACTGACTGACTGACTGACTGACTGACTTTTCATTCCACTAATTTATTCGTGTTTTTCTCATTGCCATGTTCCCACCAATCACGTAGCTCCTTTTTCTGCCTTTAAAAGCACACACAACCCACAATTTCCCTATTCGCTCTGACGAAGGGCTAACGCTCGAAACGTCAGCTTTTGTAATTGTAACGGTGGCCAATTTACCATTTCAACTTTGTTGATATATTCAAATTATGACTGACTTATAGGTTGACTGTTAGACTTACATTTCTTACAGTTTGACTGACTGACTGACTTAGGGATTAAGTGACTTACAGATTATCTGACTGACTCATAGATTGACTGACTTACTGATTGACTGACGAAGGACTAACACTTGAAATGTCAGCTTTTTAACTTATGTTAGTCAATTTACAATTTCAACTTAGTTGATATAACTAGTTGACTCACTGATTACCTGACTGAATTACAGTTGACTGACTGACTCATAGATTGACTGCCTGACTGAATTACGATCAACTGACTGACTTATAGATTGACTGACCGATTGACTTACAGATTGACTGACTTACTCATAGACTGACTGACTGACTGATTTACAGATTGACTTACAGACTGACTGGCTTACAGATTGACTGACTGACTTACAGATGGGGTGACTGATTTACAGACTGGGTGACTGACTTACAGAATGACTGACTGCTTTACAGATTGACTGACTGACTTACAGATTGGGTGACTGATTTACAGACTGGGTGACTGACTTACAGAATGACTGACTGCTTTACAGATTGACTGACTGACTTACAGATTAACAGTCTGACTCATAGATTGACTGACTGTCTGATTTGCAGATTAACTGACAGACTGACTTATAGATTGATTGACAGACTGACCTACTGATTGACTGATTGACTTACAAATTAGCTGTCTGATTAAGAGTGATCAACTGTCTGACTCACTCAATGACTGACTGACTTCCCAACTTGCCGACTGACTGACTGTCCAACTAATCAATTTACTGTTAGACTGACTGACTGACTGAGTATCGGACCAAAGTTTTCATTGTCAAGTGACAGACTCGGATGCACCTCATGTGTTGCTTTTCTGTTCTCACCACATATTTATTTCTGAACACGCTTGCGGCAACGTGGAATCTATGTGTTGATCTGATAGGCTTTTCCAGCGGTAACTGCCTCTGATATTTAACCCTTAAAACCTGAGAGTGACTAAAATCTCTCCTTGCAATGTTACCCCAGAATTAAACATCAAGGTGACAAGAATAAGTGGTGATCATTTAAATGGTGATCAATTATGGAAAATTAATTGATCACCATTAAAAGAAGCTCTTGATTGTTTAAAAATTTCTCCTTGTCAGCAGTTTAGGAAATGTTTAGAGAACTGTATGGAGAATAATTATGCAGACTGAAGTTAGGGTGAAAAAGGGTTCAACAACTCAGGGGGAGTAATTTATTAGAGATCACTTTCTTGTTGCTGAAACAGGTTAGCTTAAATTCAAAATTGCTGCAGCAGCACTTATTTAAACAACAAAACACATTTTTCGGACTCTATAATGTGATAGAGCCATGCAGGGTGTTGGGGGAACAAGAGAACATCTTACAAATCACGAGCTGAGAAAAGTGATTTTTATAATTATTATTATTATTAAACTTTCCTCGTGTTCTCCCAACATCCAAAGTGGGTTCTATCATGTTACAGAGCCTGGAAATAAATTATGTGCTCTATTGCTTTTATGACATTATAATAAGTTATATGTGGGCTCTATAATGTGATAAAGGCTCACAATCGTATCAGGCCTCTACTGGCAAATGTAAAAGATTTAATGATTTTGTAACTGTCAAATTTCAAAATGTATGTCGTGACCACCCCCTGTAATTCAGTTGTTACTGCAATAGGGTTGAATAAACGATTGATTGATTGAGTTGAAAACTGAATTTACTAATCAGAAGATGTGTACTGTGCTCATTTATGTTATGAATGTGCACCAACAAAAAAACATCTTGTTTCCTGCTTCGTTTTTTGTAGGCATATTTATCAACAGACTTTGGACGTCACTGGAAATTTTTACAGAGTTATGTTAGAAGCTTAAAATGGTAAGAGCATGCAAAGGCAAGATTTTTAAGTGTGAAATTTTTCCAACAAGTTTAATTTTTGGTTTTCTTTGTTTCATTGAAATTGTCAGAAACAAATGAAAATAAGAATCAAAACTGGTGTGAAACCGTTCAAGTTCCAGGGAAAGATCAGAACTGCAATGTATAGTTACGTTTAGTGCCTAGATTTTATCTTTTTGTCAAAGGATTTTGAAATCTTGTTGTTTTCGTTTGGTCTTAGGGGTGCCATCAAAGATACAGAAGGAGAAGAAAACACAATCTTAATGACAGTCTCATCTAGTGAGTATTTTTTTGGTGAATGTGGGATAATCATTATGCATACAATCATGTAGCTCCCCTATTGTGTGATCTAGTGTGTTTGTCGTCCTTCATTTCAAGAATAAGCATTAATTTTTATTTAAATGCCAGGGTGACAAAGTTACTTTCATTTTGATACATCACAGCTTTTGCAAACTTTTTAAAACATTTTCATAAATTCTCATCAGCCTTTAGGACAGGTCTTTAAGTCTGTTTACAGACGGTTGTTTCTTGGTCTTGAAGTCTTGCTTTTGTTTTATGCAGTGAGCTGAAAGGTGAAAAACAGATGAAAAAATACAAAATTTCCTTGTGGTGTTAGTCAGTTTGAATTAATGTATTGGTACCTCCTTTTTGGGTTGTGGGAACTCACTCAGTTTATATTCTCTCTCATGAACAACTCCTTTAGTTAATCCCAAATCTGGAAAAATCTCACATTATCTCAAAATCCTATCTTGTCTCATAATATGATAGACTGTGACAAATCACGTGCATGCAAGATCCCCATTTTTTGTTTTGCCTAAAGGTAAAATTGTTGATAGATCAGTTTTTAACTCAAGGAAACTGTGTTGAACTTTATTGATACTGAAATGTGTCTTTTCAAAAAATTAACAGATGCTAATAGCTTCCTAAAGGGAGAAGCTAAGTTGATCAGATCAAGGGACCTTGGAGAAAAGTTTGAAGGTAAGTTTTAACAAAAAATTTTTAATAAGAGATGTTTTTGTTAACTCAGACATTAATTTTCCTTTAAAACAAGTTTGAAGAATATTTTTGCTCTCTTTCATCCTGGTCCATCCTGTTAACCCATTATCACCCAGGAGTGATTAACATGAAATTTCTCCTAACAATATCCATACATTATCCAGCAAACAGGTTATGGGAATATTGAAACTTATCAAGTAGAAGTTATTATCCTGATCTAACACCAAAATAACATGATTTACAAGGAATTGTAATTAGCAACAAGAAGGAAGAATTAACAATCGGATCTTGGAAGTTACAGGGTTAATTTTGTAACACGGTGTGATCACTTCTGTGGAAGATTTCTAGGTTCTGATTGCATATGGACTTGTGTCTATTCTTCAAGTGATAAGGTTGACTGATCACACAATACCTTATGTAGCGTGCTTTGCTCACAGTGGAACCAACAGATATAAAATGTGATGACTTAAAGTTCTATTAAAAGTTCTCTACAGCGGCACCCTTCTCGAAAATGGTAGAATTGGTTATCTTGATCTAACACCAAATTCTTGTATCTAATTTAAAAGCAAATGTTTCGAAGCTATAAGTGAGAATTAGCAATCAGATCTAGAGATTTAGAGGTTAGGACTTTACTTATTGGAAAATTTCACTTCATTTTGTTCCTTATTTCTTTCCTTAGCTATCCATGTTCAGCATGTGTACTCCTTTGGACTGCAGGGGCACTTTCTTTATGTTTCTATACGCCACAACATGGTATATTTCTTTAAGTCTCTGGACGCCATACGGCAAGCACCATATTGCTTGTGACATTTAAATCCAACCTGAAGACTCATTTATTTGATCAAGTCTTTAATTTAGTCATTCGGTTTTTGCATAATACTTTTACTAAGTTGTTTTAATCATCTTTATCTTATTTTTTATCCAATCCATATAGCTGTACAGCGCTCTGAACTCTAGCATGGGCACTATAAAAGTCTTATATTTTTATTGCTATTATTATTATTATTATTATTATTATTATTAAGTTTCATTCATGAAAATTAATGAATAAAAAAGATTCAGCTTGCTTCAGTAAAGCCTTAATTATCTAGACCTCGATTATCCATACTTTTTCTTTGGTCCTAGTTTTTGTCATGAATATTTATTAGTCAGGATCAAGATCAGTACCCATATTCTTTTTAAAACTACAGCGTTGAAAAGTAAAGTAAAATCGATTAGTCTTATTTAAGACAAAATGATTTAGTTCAACATTGCAGGCAAATGTAAAAAAATTTTCATTCATTTTAATTTTTAATACACACGTGTAGAGGTATTCACAACGGACAGTGAAGATGCAGGCCGTATTCTTTTCAAAACGATTTGTAAATGTTTAGTTTCATGATTAAATGTCGCTTTCTTAATTAAATCAGTTTTTGTCCCTCATTAATATTCGTATTCTCGATTATCCGGACCTTAAATTATCTGAACTATTTCGTCTAGTCCCAGTGCAACTACAGTATACAGCAACTATAGTATACAGGGTCACTGAGGTCCACCCCGTCGGCATGCTCTGAAAAACGAGGCAGAAAACAAAACGATGCATTGTGATTCAATGAGATGTAAATAAATGGCCCTGTATTCTGTAGTTTTACCGCCAATGTTTTTTTCAATAGGCCTTGGTGACTTCAAAATGGTGTTACTTTGGAGTATTATGCACATATTATTTATTCATTTTTTGTTGCTTGTTTTTCATATCCAGAATAACAATTCCCGTACCATGCATGTGTCCAAGAATGGAGGAGATTCGTGGGACCCTGTACAAGTGCCGACTGTAGAGCCAGAAAGGGTATTGTTGCTTATCGTTGAAATATAATTATGTGTTGTTCAACAAGCTTGAGCAAGGCTCTCGATAAGTTGAAAGTGAAAGGCAAAGAAGAAAAAAGTATGCAGCCGAGTTATTTCAGACGTTATTCGCTAAATTATTGATAAGACTGGGAACTATTTAGTTAACATGTCCTAGGCATTTCACTGAGTCAGGAGGAATCCTAGAGAAAATTTAGAATTTGGAGTGGACTCGCACATTTGAAAATGTTACTGGTAAATTATGCCTTCAGTACTTCTTCAAATTGGGAACGGCTGCCGTGCAAATTTCTTTGATTGTATTTATAATTTGATCTTATTTTTTCATGCACAGTTTTACTCCATCATGGACATGTCGGAAGGAATGATTTTTCTCCATGTTGATGATCCAGGAGGTTTGTCACATTCGTTCATTTCAGAGTGTTTTTTCCCCTTGACTTTTTTTGTTGTTAATAATAATAATAATAATAATAATAATAATAATAGTAATAATAATAATAA